CTTGTGGATTTACTCTTTGAATTTTGATGCATGTCTTCACTTGTCAAAAAAAGTAAATTATGCAAGTTACACCCCATCCCCCTTTTCTCCCAATATACTGAAGTTGTACTACAGATCTCTAGCTACAGTAAGCAATTCTCCGAGGATGAAGAAAGAAAATGTACATACACATAGGAATTTCTTTTCCAGAGCTAAAATTGACATTTTATAAATAATTTCCGTGTTGCAAACTTGAGACTAAGAAATCACAGCAATTCAGTGATATGCATTTGGCATGAGTCAGTTTTAGTTCTTAGTGCTTTTCATTGGAAATGGCATAAAAAGTAAGATTTCTCTGAATTTTTTATGCTGTGGGCTTACAAGAGACATAAGATGTTTTTCTCTTATAGATGTCTGGCAGTGCATGGCAGCAGAAGTAACGAAATGGTCACAAACCCCAGCAGTACTTCCCAGGTCACATGCACTGTTAATTTTTAAAGAATCTAGAAACAACCTAAGCAGTTGATAACAGGTCATTTCTAGGTGATAAAGAGTATTTGATATGGGTTGCCTCTCTTCCCACACCTTTCATTTTTATAATCATTTAGAGATTTACTTTACATAGTGATGGTTTTATGTTTTAAAATATGTAATCTAACTAGTAACTGAATTTTTACTTTCTTTTTAGTGTTTGACATTGATTTTGAGGCCTTAAAATTTTTTTCAAGTTTTTAAAAATTATTTCAGTTCATTGCATATATACAAGTTACAGTTCATCTATATATGATGAATAATTTTTATTATATATAATATATAAGTATACATATATAATATATATTATATATATAGTGAGCTGACCTGAGGTTATGGAAGATTCTGATTGTTTCATTTTTAAGCTCAAGAAAATGAATGCATTATAAATTCTTAAAACATTAGTTCTACTCTGTAAATACCCATAATCATTGACTGTGATATAAGTACAACTGGACCAAAGGCAACTACTGAAAAGAGAGAGAGAGAAAAAAATTACAGCTACTGCCAGAAGTGTTTGTGTATTTTTCTTTAAAACACCTTTGTATTAAACTAATTTGAAGAGCTTTGCTTAAAAATAGCTTCCTTTGGATGTAAAAATTGGGAACTATAGATTGGTGCTTTAGAAATTTAGTCTAGTCTTTCAGTGACCTAGCAGTTGATGTGAAAACATGAATTTTAAAATAAATAGCATATTGGATGAACTGTATTCTACTCATGAAAGAAGCCAAAAAATTATGGATTAGACTGAGTTTTAAGTCATAAACCAGATTCGTCATTAAAACGAAATGATAGATCCTTGACCCTTGGGCATGCTTGGAATAAATACGTAACTCAGTATTGTTTTTAAAACTATTTTGCTTTTATAATCTAAGACAGATGTACAAAAAACACGCAGTTTTTATTTTGTATTGGCAGCTTCCAAATATTTAGTATCTATTTCCAAGAGTTGCAATTAGTAAAGCAACCATGGTACTGAAATCTGCACATCCCACAAGCTAATTATATTTGCAAGGTCAGAGTGAATACATATTTTCAGAAAAATAAAGGGTTATATAAATATGTGTCTTCTACTTGGCTGTTATATCACAGTTTGTTGATCTGGAGTATAATGTGTACAATTCACAAATTTGTCTGATAACAGAAAGTGGTGTGTGATTGTGTTTATTTTACTAACCAGTATATTCACAGCAATCACTTCCAAATATCTCTCCAGTAAAGATGTGTTAATTACAAAACAGACAAGGTCTTCTATTATATTAAAGCTACTAACAAGAAGACAGCAGGAATCACACATGTAAATAGCATCATCAACCCCTATTTTAGTCCTCTGTTTTGATCTGTGAGTTGCGCATAGACCAAAGGTGCTATTAAAGACTGAGTGTATGAAATAGGCAGCATTATATGAACAAAATTTATTCAACAAGAAAACAGACCTTTAACATGAATTTAACAAGCCTGAGAAATTATAAACTATCATATGCTGCAGATTCATGCAGTGATAATAAACAAAAAAGGAAAGTAAGAGGTTTCCCTAAGCTAGCCAAACTGCTAATGGTTTTGTTATAAGCTGTCTACTGTTGCAGTGACCTCTGAAAAGTCTCAAGGCACTTGTACCAGAAAAAATTAAATGGTCAGGCTGGTGAATAGAGACTCAATGTGGTGTGTAGGCCTTCAGTATGGAAAGGAATTTTTCAAAGTCTAGCATCATATTCCTGAAAATATTCTTCATACTTTACTCAGAGGTTTTTGTTATTATATATTAAGGAGATACTTTTTGTGTAAAGTTTTTGGTTAATTACTGCTTTAGTTTATAAGATACAAACTGAACTAATTTAATGTCTATATACTTCAAAATGAACTGTTTAGAAAACTCAGAGAGCTCAAAAAAATGGATTATTTCCCCTACCCACCCATACCTTAATTAATTCTTGGGGGTTCTTTGTTCAGTGTGTTGTATCTAAGATTTCTGTTCTTAACCATGGAGTGATCATTTTGCTGTCATTCTGTTGCATCATGCTGTAAATACATAAACATGGAGAAACGCTTTCAGCTTATACACACCATCGAGTGCTCACTAGGGCTTTTTTTTTTTTTTTTTAATCTTACTGTGGCATAATTAACACCTTCTTCACCCGTTGCTCATTAGTGCACTGGACATTAATGAGTCTATTTTGATAGGTTGCTCTCAGGGATAAATCCACTTATTTTCACAGCGCAAAAAGCAATGATAAAATTATACAAAAATTAAAATGTAGACTATATTGCCATGTTTATATTTTATTGCATACTAAATCTAATTTTGGTCTGCAGGTTGTTGAACATGTTAGTTTCCTTAAGACAGTTGCTATAGTGATGGCAGCAAATTCCTTTAATCTTAGTGTAAAGTAGTCATTTTCTATAGGCCATCATTGATACTTAGGAATTGTCAATGAAAGCATGTCATTTTATTAACTTCTTGAATTTTTCTCTTAATTTCTTAAGAAAATTTAAAAAATTTGTTTTTAACAGATCATGATACCTACTTAACTGGTATTTTCATTTCCTTTTTATGAAGTTTCACACCTGCTTATAATATTTCAGAGAAATAATACAGACTTCTACAAGTAAAATAGCTGTCTGCCGTTTTAGTTTGAAAGCATTCACTATAAAAAAGTATACAGGAATTTTGTTGTGCTATATAATGAAATTTTCATAGGTTTGTAGCAGCTTTTTCTCCCCCTCATAAATGATTTTACTGAAATCTTGAAATGGACCAAAATGATGCTTTGCTCTTAAATATTTACCATTAATAGTTAGGGTGGCAATTCTTAATTTTGTGTTTAAGTTATATACCTATCTTTGAAAATGGTCACCTTCTTCCTCCTTTGCCAACATTTTAACTTTATCTTATTTAGTATGAGTGTGAGAAAAGTTTACTTCTGTATTTTTAACAATTGTTTGAAGTTATTTATGATAACATCTGATTAAAATATGTCTGATATTAGTACTTGTTTTTATTGCTTTTTTTAAAAAAGAATATGTTTAGAAAAAAATTTTAAGTATAAGCAATGTAGGCCGTATTTATTTATATATAAACCTGAAAGTTAAGTGTGGATTGAGGTTATTGTATAAAAAGAAAAAAGTTTTCACAAACCATTAAATCATTCATGTTCTTGGGATACTTGGCTTTATTTTGATGCAAGAGGAATGAATCTTTGGGAAAATGTTAACTGTTCAAAATAAAAGTAAAATTCAGAGTTGATATTGTAGGCCAAATGAGTAGACAGAAACTTGGATTGATTCACTTGCCATCATGTTTTAGTCTAGGTTTGTATTTTTTGTTATTGTCTTTGGACCCATCATAGCAATCTTTTACAAAGGGTGATTTCTTTCTTTAAATCTTGTTCTTTAGCATACAGCATGCAGTAATACTTATTACAAACAGAATTTTCAGACTTGATTAGATTTGGTTGGCTTAAGTATTTTTAATCTCTTAATATCCTCAAGTAATAATTGTACACATAAGAACAAATCTAGTTGACACAGCTTTTAAAACATTGATTGTTCAGCACTTTTAAAGGCAAAATATAGATATACTCTGCTACTATACTATCTTGCTTTGATTGTTTTATGTGATAAATCTATTGAGTTAAATTCCCTTAAAGTGGCAGTCTGTCTTAAAGTCACATGACTTTATGTAAAACTTTACAGTGTTGAAAAGCTTTAGCAAGTATGTGATTCTTGTCAATCTCTTTATATGTAAGAGCTAACAGATGTTATTGTGTCATAGAAGAATTTGAAGTATTTCTGTACACACAAAAGGAATATACCTATTGTAATTTCTTTACCATGAATTTAGGACCTTATCATTCCATACCATGTTCTTGGCTTAAAGCATGGATGACCTTGGTTTTCTTATATTGTGCCTTCTATACTTGACAGTGGCTTGGACATTTAAGGCCATCAGACAAGGTATAAAGTCTTTCATAGTCACAAGAAGTAAAAGGTATCTGACTAGAAGAGAATACGTGGGCAAGTGCCTTGCTGGCTGTAATTTTGTTGTCATTTCAAGTACTGTGGTGGTGTAATTGATGTGACAGGGCTGGGCTTTAGATGTGGTCCCTTAACTTGTGCTCACTTTCAGTTTTAGTTTCTCTGTCATTCATTTTGATTAGGTAAAATTTAGGTGACAAACATATGCACACCAGTGAAGGCTGTTTGGTGTAAGTTTAGTAATGACATATTTCAATAATAAAGATGCAAAGTTAATTTTTTTCTTTACTGTTTCATGAAAATTGCAATAATTGGTGTCACCTTACATTACAAGATAGAGGGTGGTGTGCTGATGGCACAGTCAGCAGGAGGTTCTTTTTTATTAATATTATAATTAAATGATTTTCTGGATATAGTCCAGAAACAGATGCACGTTGATCATGCCTTGTCCACTGTTGCTTGGCATTATCACTTGCTTTTAAAAAAAGAATTGACTTGACACCTTGTTTTTACAGGTTGTTATTGATGCCTTCAGATTGATCAATGCTAATATGATGGTCTTAGGACATGAACCAAGACAAACAACTTCAAATCTGGGTCACTTAAACAAGCCATCTATCCAGGTATTGCCTATATTTGATAATGTGTTAAAACTCTGTTTTACATTTTAAAAGCCTGCTATAAGTAGTCTTTTTAAGTTCTAATTCTTAGTATTTTAATTTGCTTGCACATTAATTTTTCTTTTGTTTTAAAAGAGAATTGTAGAAATACTGTAAAAGTTAGATTTGCTCATGTGTGAGTCAATTTTTAATGGGGTCTTTAAATTTTCCTATCATATTTGAGGACACCCTTTTTGGGAGCATAGTAGATCCTTTATCTTGAAAGCATTCTGGCTTTGCATGGTTAACATTATAGAGAAGGAACAATAGGAGTTTCAGGTGAAGGACATAACTATTATCATTGCTTGATTAGTAGGTATTTTTCATAGCAGAAAACAATGGAGAAATTGCTGTATATTTTAAGATATCCCTAGAAATAATTCTTAAATATACTTAAAATTTTCTTTTTTAAAAAACCCACCTTTAAAATAAACCCTATAAAAGACCTCCATGTGTTACTTGTGATGAGAGTTTATATCTTGTTTTTTATTGTGATAATCAGTTACCATTAATTGCAGTTACCGATATTCAGACACTTAATATCCTCTTGAGTGATTGTTTTCTTTGTATCATTCACATGCCATGTTGTTTTTATACAAATCTGTATTGTCTGCAAAAATTATTTTAAATGTGTTTTTAAATGCACCACAGTCTGTGGCTATCTAGTTAATTACTTCTCTAAAGATTAATTAAATGGGCAGAAATACCACGTTTGGTTAAGTAGAATACATAAAACAAAGACATTTTAGTAGTTATTGCTGCTCCCTTCTGAAACCTTGCTCTGTCATGAGGTTGTCTTTGGGGAGTTATGGCTTTGACAGTTAACCATGGTTAAGCCTTAGTTACACTTTGATAACTTTATACTTTTAAATGCTTAATTTTGCGGCAGTCACTCTTCCGAAATGTTCATCAAAGTGAAGTGTTTTGTTTTAAAGGATTGAGGTGTGATTTGAAAAAAAAAAAAAAAATTGCAAGTCAAGGAAAACTGCAAAGTATAATGAGTATGAAATAAGCTACCAGTGGTTTTGACTGGGTACAGACAAGCCCGTACTTGCATGTTCCAAGAGAATATATTATTGGACCTGTTTAGCCTGTGATAATGACCTTTTTTTTATAAACTCCAATAGCATCATACTGCTTCATTATTTTTTGCAAAAGGTTAAGTAGCATCTCACAAGCCAAGATCATTGTGATTACTACATGGTATGTTTCTGCCAGAAGTTTTTACTAATTGCAACTCACTCACCACCTGTTGCAGATTTCTTTTTTAAAATTAAAGCACTGCTTTTTAACCTTAAAAATCGACTGTAATCAATATTAATAATGTGTTTTTTTAATACCAGTCCAGTTTGTATTTTTTAATCTTACTTTACAGCCTGTAATTTAAAGTGCACCTTATAAAGCAGGTTCCAAACCTGTGTTAAACAACATGTGTATATAACAACTACAGCATCATTATTTTTCCTTTCATTTTAGTTTGTTTTACCTTCCAATTAGAACTTCTAAATATATTTATTTCACAGTTTATATAGCGCCCATCAGAATGACATCTATCTGGGTGCTCTATAGTTTTAAGACAATTTCAATACTAAAACACACAAATGGGACCAAGCCAACAAGTCACAGAACAAAGCCACATCTTAATGTACTTTCTTATTTTTCTAAGACAAGCTAGAAAACAACCCAGAAGAGTCTGAAGGGAATAGTAATATCTGTAATGAATTTTACTTTATGTTAGCAGAATATTTAACTCTGGGATCAGAAGCCTTTCAGAAATGCCATGCCTTTTATTTTGAAGGGGAAATTAGCTGGTGTTAAGAGGGGCCTTGCTCTTAAACCAGCTTTCAAGTAGTAGGGATAAAAGTCTGATAACAACCATCAGCTCACATGCTGGTGGTCACTAATGATTTTCTAACAGATTTTTTTTTTACTATTATACTTAAAGTAGTAGAGAAAAATTATGATTCATTGTAGACGGCTATTTAATAATTTGGGAAAAGTTCAAATATGTTAAGTAAGAAAAAGATTATACAGCAGAATATATCAGTTCTGCATTCTGCAAGCGTGTATTTTATAGATGGTGCCTGTATATTTTATACCAGGATATTAGCATTGGTTACCTTTGGATGGTAGAATTGTGAGATTTTTTTGTCTTTCCTTGCCCATATTTCTTAAATTTTTGTTCAGTGAAACATACATTGCTTTTAGAAAATGTTATTTTTAAAGTACTAATTGACAGTGTTGAAATAAGCTAAGAGACAAAGGTTATTTTCACTTTCATGTTTTATATAATAGAAGCCACTAATAATCTTCATAGAGAGGAGAAAGTATAATGCCTGTACTCTAGGCTTTTATATTAATATATGATAATGTATATTATTTTGCACTTGGAACATTTGTCTGTTACTGTCAAATGTTTAGAATTGAGAGTTAACAAGCATTTATTTTAGTGACTAAATTTTTTAAACTATTCCATTATAAACTGTTCAGTGACATTTTGGATTCTTAAGTGTCACAGTAAATTTGAAGATTGGTAGTCAGTCTAATGGAAATTTAGTAAATATTGATGCATAGATGCATGTGCTAAGGCTAAGAGCCTCTAAGTATAGTGTTGAGTACAGTTGCATTGTTTAATAGAGTTAAGCTATTTGGAAAACATTGTATCAGTAATTACTGAACATATAAGTTATAAAACAATTGCACTAGAAAGGAGCCATTGTAATCATTTCGTACATGAGGAAACCTGAGGCCCATAAAGGTGAGTTGCCCAGGTTGCCCAGTGAGGTAATGCAGGAACTAGTACTCATAACCAGATTGCTTCATTCTTTTATATTATCGTTGGAAATTTAATTAATTAATTTTGGCATAGATAATATATATACAGTTAAAAAAAATTTAAAGTACAAAGTCATTTAGCAAAAACTCTCCCTTCCTCTTTCGCCTTCTGCAACTCAGTTCTCCACTCTAGAGGGAACCACAAAACACATTTTGTTTCTTTTCAGTTATTCTATTTATATTCAGAAAGCTTCATTTTAGAACGTGATTTAAAGGATATCAGTTACCACCATATTTTCAGTTTATCAATTTAAAATAAAGGCAAACAAATTTGTCTTTAGATCCAAGCACACCTTTTTAAGGAGCATGAAAACTTTAAAAACTTATCAGGAACCCATGAATAGCTTATATATAATTCGTAAACTGTTTTTATAATGCGCCTGCTTTTCCACAGCAGTGAGTGCATAGAGGTAAAATCATAAGTCAGTTGGTCGTGTGTAGTTCTACATGAACCCAAAAAGGACATGGCTGGTTGACTTATGATTTGGGAGGAAGGCACTGGGGGCACCACAGCAGGTGAGTAAGTGAAATTGAAAGACTACTTGAGGATATCATTTGATTTAAACTTACCATTGTTTTGTTATTGTTATACCTGCTGATCTTTCTTGCTGTCTGTGTTAGTTTTATTGCTTTTATCTAAAAAATTGATTTTCAAGTAATAGGGATAAAAGTCTGATAACAACCATCAGCTCACATGCTGGTGGTCACTATCAGGAACCCATGAGTCACTATCATGAACCATGACTATCAAAATGAGACTATCTGATTTTGATAGTCTCAAAAATATAGGGCCTAGTATCTGTGGGTCCATCAACTGGCTTCTGTATGTATTGGCTATAGCAGTTACTAGCTTTATGACCACCATGTAGGGTTGTGCAATTAGTGAGTGCATTGCGCAAACATGCTTGGATGAGGGAGCTTCCAGCTCAAGCTCCACTGTCTGCAGCCAGACGATGTCTGCTTAGACGACTGAGCACCTTTTTCTAATTCTCTACCAGGATGATTCATCTCCTAATGTACACAAATAGCACAGATTAAAGGAAGCCCTGATCACTTCTACTTTTTGGTCTGTACAGAATAGCATTTTTATGCACTAAAATTTAATTCATTGCTCCCGATGATTATTGAAATGAATAAGGATTTAATATATACCCTTGGTACTTTACAATCAGTCACTGCTTCCTATGGAATTTCATAGCTCACTTTTATAACAGACATTGGTAAAATAAGAATCTATTGTTAAAGTACTCATCTAAAATATTTTCATACTCATTGGAGTGATTTTTGCTAGCAAAGCTTAAAAATTAACATAATGCTTTGTTTCATCCTGATCCTTAAAGTACACAGACTTAATCCAAGAATTTCCTGACATGTATTGTAGCATAGTATGTTAGAAAGAACATAGGCTAGGGAATAAGAATGACCTAGGTTCAGATCCCCATCTAGCCTTTCACTAGCTATAAACTTGGACAAATTACTATTTGTGTCTTATTTTCTTTTTTGTTGTTTTTGTTTTTTATAGAGATGGGGTCTTGCTATGTTGTCCAGGCTGGTCTTGAACTCTTGGGCTTAAGTGATCCAGTGCTGGGATTACAGGCTTGAGCCACTGAGCCTGATGCTGCATTTTATTTTCATCTGTCAAAATACAAATTGAATTGCCCTACCTCACAGTACTGTGAAGATTAGGAGATTTAATGTGTAAAGCAGATACTAGCTGCTTATTAAATGTTCTCTTTTTTACCCCTTCTTCCTCTACCTTGGTGACATCTTAAGACCTACATTGTAAAAGTCCATTAGTTAGAGAAGTGGTGATTATTTTGGTTAGCTTTTGTCTTTAGGTTCCTGAGGGTTAACTCCAAAGTCCTTTTTGTTTTTATACTTGTTAAAAATATCCCTAAAGGTGTATTTCTGTACTTTCATGTTTTTCTAGGCTGCCAGAGGGTCCTTTAGGTCCACCACAATACTGTTGAACCTCATTTGAACACTTGATGTTGTTAGACTTAGATATGGGGGCAGTTGTGATTTGATTTCAGGACATCCAGGATTATTGTTTCTTAATAAAGCCATGCCGTTAGCTTAAGATTTTATTATGATTGGACTGTTCACCTTGGAAATAGAGTGAGGTGAAAAAAATTCTGGTTAGTGAGACTGCATGTCACTGGATAAGAGCATTAGCTAGACAGACCTAGTAAAGACCAAAATCCACATTGTTAATTTGGAGACATGCATAACATAATTATCTGAATCAATCATAACTGAATGAGGAAAAGGGGAACTCCAGATTAATGTGGGTAAAGAAACAGTTGTGTTATTGTAGCTTTTTAGGCTTTTCATTTGAAATACCCATGAGCCCCCTAGATATCATAAAGTTAGATTTAATAAATTATGAATGATTTATAAACTTAGCTTACAATAAGATCAAACCTTATCTCTGACTGAGCAAGGCTACTGAAACTGCTTAATTTGTGCTCCTCCATATCATGCTTTGAAGAATGTGTAACCCATTCCTCTAAACCTTAGGTTTAAACTTATAGCTAAGAAAAATACTTTAATTTTGTCTTAATTTACTTTAAATAAAATGCCTTTATTAGAGGATGGTACAGGTATTATGTAAGAATATCAACAGTTTCAAACATTTTTATTAGGTGAAAAATAGTAATTTGTCCTTTTTAAAATCATTTATCTATATAGGCATTAATTCATGGACTAAACAGACATTATTACTCCATTACTATTAACTATCGGAAAAATGAACTGGAACAGAAGGTAAGTTTGAATTTTTATCTTATAGGAGGAAAAAAGTCTTTTTCAAACCATTTAAACTATTACCTGGAATGTGATTTAAATTTGAATTTTTGACCTCTTTCAGTGTTTCCAAATATTATTCCATTATTGATGAATTGCAGCACAAAATAAAGGAATATTTTATTGGACTATTTAAAAACACATTTTACCTTATTGGTAGGTGCTGAAGTGGGAGAGGAAGTAGGAAATAAATCAAACACTCCACTTTGGTTTTATGATAAATCATAAAAATATTTCTTTTAGTTCTGTGATTTTCTGATTATCTTCTTCAAGAAAAAGGCTTTTTGTAATTAAATTAGTAAATATATTGCTCTATAAATTTGAGAGGAATGACTTAAATTGCAGTTGTGTCATGCTTTTTGATTGTTTGTTTTAAGAGAGAGGGTCTTGTTCTGTCTCCCAGACTTCAGTGCAATGGTGTGATCATGGCACGCTGCAGCCTCAAACTTTTAGGTTCAAGGGATCCTCACTCTACAGCCTCCCGAGTAGCTGGGACTATCGGTATGCACCACCACACCTGGCTGTTTTTTGGGTGGTGGGTGGGAGGTAGAAACGGACTCTTGCTTTGTTGCTCAGGTTGGTCTTGAACTCCTGTGCTCAAGTGATCCTCTCACCTCAGCCTTCTAAAGTGCTGGGATCATTAGCATGAGTCATTGCATCCAGCCTAGTGCTTTTAGAAAACATACCATGTTTACTCTAAGGAAAACTAAAAGTGAGTCAAGGAGAAACAGTTATAGGGTTTTCAGATAATTTGTACTAGATTCTTATCCCATTTTATACCAGTTTTCAAGTTTGATTAGTTTTTAACATTACCTGACATTTTGATGAATTAGCATTCTCATTTGTTTCTACTATTTTAGGATTATTTCTCGTATAGTTTTTCTCTAACTAGTATTTAACTCTGCCTGTTGTTTTTGATATTACAATCTGAACCACTTTCCCCCTCTTTACTATTACAATTAGTCATCCACCTAATTAGTTTCTTGTATTTCTCTCTGAGAAAGTTAAAAGCATTTTTTAAAAGAACACTGAGTTTACTGTTGATTGATAGCCAGTAAGTTTTGGTTAGTGAGACCACTCTCAAGTCTGAAAGTGATAAGTAATCAGTAGCAAATAAGATCATTCTATCTAGCCCAAACTGTTTCTCACCAAGGTGTCTTAGACGGGGATTCTGGTACATGGCAAGTGGCGGATGGAGTGAGCTGGGCTCTCCACGCTTACCCCCTCTTTCAACCAGATCACGTCCATTTTTAATCTAATCTATATACTGGGGGGTGAGGGTATGCAATATAAGATTTTCTTTGAAATAAGAATTCTAATTTTGTTTTTTTTTAAGTTTGTTAAACTAGAGTTTTAAAAGGTGAAATCCACTTATAAACTCATCTGAAGAGCCCAGTGCTTGAGCATATAATGAGCGAGGGGAGTGGGGGACTACTTCCCCCTTGGCCTGAGGGGATCCTATAAATCTGTCTTCTAATTCCTGCCTGTGTACCACAGTTTACTTCTGCTGTGATAGATTTAGTTGATTAAGTATATTTTTAACACTTATTTTTAATTTTACATGGAATGAGTACAGGCTGTGAAAAATGGCACCACTCAGGTACAAACAAAATTCAGAATATAAATATTTTATCAGACTGCTATCTGATACCCATCTATTCGGAAATGTCTAGCTAATTACATCAATTTTTTCTTTCTCTTTTTTGGGGGAGTATCTCATAAACTTAGCCATTTTCCTTGGCATAAACAGCAAATATATAAGCACTTACATAAATTACTTAATGTTATGTTTATGTTCTTAATAGCCCAGTTTAGCTGTTAAACTGCCTTCTTGGTAACAAAATCTCTGCCTTTACTCTTATCCAGACAACTTGTATATTTAACCCCAAGCCCTACTTGAGGGTCTCAAGGGAATCCTTGTCCAGGTATGATAGGAATATCCTGCTGCTCCTTGGGAACTGTCTTTGTTTGCTTTTGAAGTGGTAGGGAAATCTTAAGTCTCAACACTTAATTATAGGTGGCTATATAGCATAGGTAGTTGTAGCAGCATCCACATTTCTCAAACATGTATTTTCTAGAATGGTATCAGTGGAGAAGCTAGGAAGCAATCAAAGAAACTGAAATCATCTGTGGAGGGTTTTCCTAATTTTTTTTGGCATACTCTCTTTGCCCCTGGAGCCATAGTAAGAAAATGGGAGAATTAGTGCCTTTGGAACCAAAGGAAGGGAATGGAGGAGTTTTGTATCTTGAAAAGCCTTATAGGTGATTTTGACAGGCAGCTTATTTTCCAATATACGATAAAATTTGTACCACAAATAGCTGTAAACTTCTAAGCAAGTAGGATAATTTTTCTAAACGAAACCCCCATATATCTCCAAGTACATCTTCAGATTCTCATGGGTCAGGGATCTCATTTAAAGTATAACGGTTCTATTGACAAAACAACAATCATTTTATAGCCATCATTTTTTTTCTTTTACTTTTCACAGTTTTGTGAATCATCCAAAGGGGAAAACTTATTTAATGATAGTCCTCAATTGAAGAAAATTTGTAGGGTAGGACTTTAAGAAAAACTGTCTTAAAATATAAACTTGAAAACTTAAAAACTTCTAAGAATAAGTACTCAGAATTGTAAGTCCAATTTGAGAAACGTTGAACTAAGGTGTTTAGTTTCATGATCACTAATATAGGGTCCAACCCCAATTTGCTGGTGTGATTGCACATGAGTTTTTTTTTTTTTTTTTTTTTTTTTTTTTGAGTCTCACTCACTCTGTCACCCAGGCTGGAGTGTAGTGGCGTGATCTCAGCTCACTGCAACCTCCGTCTCCCGGGTCCAAGTGATTCCTCTGCCTGGGCCTCCCAAGTAGCTGAGATTACAGGCGTGTGCCACCACACCCAGCTAATTTTTGTGTTTTTAGTAGCGACGGGCTTTCACCATTTTTTTTTGGTTTGTTTGTTTTAGAGGTATGAAGTAGGAGATCAGGGGTCTCACAGCCTTCAGAGCTGAGAGCCACGAACAGAGATTTGCCCACGTATTTATTAACAGCAAGCCAGTCATTAGCATTGTTTCTACAGATGTTGGATTAACTAAAAGTATCCCTTATAGGAAATGAAGGGATGGGCTAAAATAAAGGGATGGGCTTGGCTAGTTATCTGCAGCAGGAGCATGTCCTTAAGGCACAGATGGCTCATGCTGTTGTTTGTGGTTCAAGAACGCCTTTTTTTTTTTTTTTTAATTTAAGTTCTAGGGTACATATGCACAACGTGCAGGTTTGTTACATATGTATACATGTGCCATGTTGGTGTGCTGCACCCATTAACTTGTCATTTACATTAGGTATATCTCCTAATGCTATCATTCCCCTCTTCCCCCTCCCCACAATAGGACCCGGTGTGGGGCTTTCACCATTTTAACCAGGCTAGTCTTGAATTGCTGACCTCAACTGATTCGCCCGCCTTGACTTCCCAAAGTGCTGGGATTACAGGCATGAGCCACTGTGCCCAGCCTAGATAAATCTTTTATTCTCAGCTTCATGGCTTTTCATCCTGACAATAAGGAAGTTATAGATGGAATACCAGAATGTGAAGGAAACTTTGAGATTACCTAATACAAGCCCTTAATTCATAGATCTCTAAACTGAGGATCAGAAAGATTGACATAAGGTCACTCAGTAAATAGGGCATTTATCTCGTTATCTTGGCATTGAAAAGCTAGGCTATATGAAAAATTAGAGATACTTTGTGTAATATTAATATGAATGTCATTCATTCATCAGATGTTTATTGAGCTATTATTAGATATTGTTCTAGAATATAGACCCTAGTGGTCTTGAAATGAATAGGTCAAAATCCCTGCCTTCTTGATTTCCCTTTAGTGGGAGAGAAATGCAGTAAACAAGTAAACAAAAATTTCAGGTCTTTGTAAGCGTTATACAAGTAATACAGCAGGTTAAGGGAAGAAAGATTTTGATTTTGTTTAAGGTAGTGTAGTGCGACTATTTTAGGTATAGTATTGTTAGGGAAGACATCTATCTATAAGGAAGAGAGGAAGGCAAGTTATGCAAAGATGAGAATAGCCTTCTAGGTAGAAGGACAGCAAATGCAAAGGCCTTGGTGTTGGAGTACTCCTTAAGTTATATTAATATAAATACAGGAGCATTCTAATTGGAGTTTATTTGCATTAATAAAGTTAAATTTAAATCATTAGGTCAAAATTTTTTTTTTTTCTCTAGACAATGAAGGGGGTATCCTCAAGGCAGAAAAATAATTACTTTTTCTTTATTTTTTAGATGTTGCTAAATTTGCATAAGAAGAGTTGGATGGAAGGTTTGACACTTCAGGACTACAGTGAACACTGTAAACACAATGAATCAGTGGTAAAAGAGATGTTAGAATTAGCCAAGAATTACAATAAGGTAAAAGTTACTTCCACCATTTGTTCTTTATAATCTTTGGAATACATATGATTAGATGCCAAGCATTGTATAAGTAATTAAAAATAGAGAAGCCTTTTTTGTAAATAAAATAGTAAATATTTGCTTAGCAGTTCATCTGGTCTGCAACTACTCACCCTTGCCTTTGTAATGCAAAGGCAGCCTTACACAATATGTAAAGGAATGAATGTGTTTGGGTTCTATTAAAACAAGCAGCTAGCCAGATTTGTCCCATGGGCTATAGTTTTTCAACTCCTGTTGAAGACCATGTAATACAGTTGCATATTTGAAATCTCTTCATTATTTAAGGTATGTTTTTCTTGAAGGGGACAGGGAGTAAGGGGATATAGATAACGATTAACAGCACTTACTACTTGCTGTGTATAATTTATATTATGAATGTTTCTATTTTTCATTTAATAATTATTTATTGGCTGGGCGCGGTGGCTCAAGCCTGTAATCCCAGCACTTTGGGAGGCCGAGACGGGCGGATCACGAGGTCAGGAGATCGAGACCATCCTGGCTCAC